TATTGGGGAAAATTATAAAGGCCACTCCACGTAGTTAAAAGGAAGATTTATTTAGTGGATGACTTACAAATGAAGGAATGGATAGGTCGCGGGGGGTCTGGGGAAGGTGTATGGCAATCCAGCGGTGTTCTCTGGAGCTCTGCACAATCAATCTCCACCATCCAGGGTCCAGGCGCAGAGAGCGCGCCCAGAGCGAGCGCTTGCCCATCCAGCTCTCAGGTTTCCAGCACCTCCCCTTGCCCCGCCTCATAGGCGTGACAGTTGCCAGAGTCTCAATGGGGGTTGGAGCTTCCAGATCCAAGCTGGAATGGCTACCCACTACATCTGGACCTCCAGAAGGTTGCTGCATTTCTTCCAAGACAATGAGGAGAAGCTGCCCCAGGAGTATCCTCTTTCTGCCCCTACTACAACATCAACAACTACTAAGGCAGGAACAGAGCAAATAAACAAGGCTACTGTCTAATCAGTTGCACAGCCAGGGAACAAGGAGCCAGCATCCACTTCTTGAGAATTTTTTCCCATTTTTTTTTTTTGTGTGTTATTTTTTGGACACAATTCACAGGTATATGAGATATTCATTTCTCATATGTCACAGACACCCATTTGGCTCTTGGATATGCCTTATATCAGTATTGTTAGCCAGCAACCATAGGCAGCTGTTTTCTCCTCTCTTTGATCTGTTTTGACAAAGGAAAATAATATGAGGTAGTGTAGATGGATAATGGCTGGATAATGGCCAAGGGTAGCAGTAAAACCCAGTTACCTTTTATACTTATTTATTTATTTACTCTTAAGATTCTGTATTTGATTGAGGTATGATTGACATGTACAAACAGATACATATTTAATGAAAATAACTTGATGAGTTTTAAAATAATTATATATCCATGAGACCACTATCAATTTTTCTATCTGTCCTAGCTTGATTTCTGTTACTGTGATAAAGTACTATGAACAAAAGCAGCTTAGGGGGAGGAAAGGGTTTATTTAAATGTACAGGTTAACAATCCTTCATTGAGTGAAGACAGGACAGGAACTCAATCAAGTTCTGGATGCATAAACCAGGAAGGAATAATGCTTGCTGGCTTACCAACAAGTTCATGCGCAGATAGCTTTCCTGTGTATCCAGGACTTTCACAGGAAATGGTGCCACATACAGTGAGCTAGGCCCTTCCATGTCAATGAACAATTAAGACAGTCCCCCCTCACAAAATAAAGGCTAATATGTTCCAAGCAATCACTCAATTGAGACTAACTTCTCACATGACTTTAAACTGCTAAATTGACAGTTAAATCTAACCAGGACAAGGGCATAGGCATTCTCATCACTTCCCATCATTTCATTTACTGTCAAAATTGTTATATTATTATTATTATTTATTGTATTAAAACTCTTTACACAAGAGCTGTCCTTTCAGTAAATTTTAAGTAATTAATACTCCAGTGCTGGCTGTAGGCACTAAACCATACGTCAAACCTTCAAATCTTATTCTGCTTTCATAACTAAATCCTCATGCCATTTGACCAGCATCTCTCCATTTCCTCTTTCCTAGAGCCCTAGCAATGGCCAAGCAACCCTGTCTTGCATGTTTCACTAGTTCAGATTCCACATAAAAGTGAGGTTTTACAGAACTTGTCTTTCTGTGCTTAGTTTAATGATATACTTTGCATGGTATCCTACAGTTTCATTCACATCGTTGAAGACTGAAAATGCTGAGTTCTAAATTATTATTATTTTTTACCCATTTATCCATTGGTGAATGTTGAGACTCATTCTGTATCATGTCCAATAAATAATTCTGCAATGTACATGGGAATAAAAAACCTTCTTAAGATACTGATTTCATCTCCTTTAATAAACACTCAGAAATGAGGTTGCTGGATCATACACTCGTTCGTAAGATTTGAGGAAGGTATTGGTTGTATCATACTTAATAGCTCCTTATTCAAAGTTTTGTTAATTCTGGACTATTAAGCCTCGGTTTCTATATGATTATAATAAATCATACATATCCACTTACTCAGACCCCGCCCAAACACTCTTCCCCACATTCATATCATATCTCATGAGAGGGGGGAATGTAAGAGGAAGAAAGAAATTTCCTTACTGAAATGTTTATAGTGGCTGCCATTAGGTAATAAAATTAGAAAAATTTCTTCTGCTACATTGCTTTTCTTTCCTCCAAAGCAAGCACACTCCTCTTAAAAATAAAAAGATGAAGTACAATAAACATGATTTTCAAAATACTTCTGAGCTGTGGCACATTCCCCTGATGGGCCAGATGTGAGGGGCAGGGTCTTGGGTTTTCTGACCTCCTGGGGCTCTCTACAGGCTCATGGCTTTATGAAGTCTCAGCTGTTCTGCATTCCTGCAGCACCTGCCACAACAAAGGGAGGCCTTCTGCTGAGCATACTAATGTGGTTGTACATGCCTTCAGAGAACAAAGAAACCCAGATGAGCAGGTCGTTAGCCTCCCTTGGACACTGTCCATCTTATCCTTG